GAACTTCCTTCTACGAGTATTTCCACCAGGACGACATCAGCCACCTGGCAGAATGTCATAGACAAGGTGCCTTCTGAGAAACCTCTAAAATCCCTGTTAGAGTTTAATAGAGAAGATGTGAACGAATGAATGCTAGTGTGCTCACTGCGAATGTATCGCAAATGTCCACAGTGCTACAGATGAGGGAGAAGATCAACACCAACTGTTACAAGTTCAAGATCAAAGATGGCTCCTTCATCACGTTAAGAAGCAGATGGTTCAGCTTTATGAACCCCTGGACCAAGGAGGTGGAGTACATCGTGTCTACCAACACTGTGGTGTCGTAAGTATCTGAAAACGCATTTTATTTGCTTTACCTGGAAGTTTTTAAGCTATAAACAAAAATATTTTGGCTCTCTGAAGACTCGGGTACATCACCTGTGCGCTTCCCCCCCCTTCTTCAGGTGTCCTATGATGGAGGGATCAGATTACCCTCAGTCTGCTGCCTCTCCACAGAGTATGGACAGCGTCCTGACCTCAGAGGGTAAATGACTTCCTTCGTTCTTTCACTCCCTGCTTATTTATCAAAAACATCAGCCCATGTCCACAGTTATTCTCCACAGTGCATACATTCTTCTTCTCTTGATTGCTGCTGATTGGTAGGTGGGGGGAGGCGGGCGCTGCAGACGGTGCCTGGTATCCCCGGCGGCACAAGAGCGGGAGCTGGGAAGATTGGACGCATGATTGCTGAGGAAGTGATGGAGATCCAGAGGTGAGAATAGGAGAATATCTGTGGTTTTTACATCTCAAACCAGTCGAGCAGAAAACCAGCGTCGGTGCTCTAATGGAAAATCACCGTGGCCTAGTTTCTTACTCGCATCGTGCTGATAGAGGTGACACAGAGAATGAATTATCAGGTATTACAAGCCAGCTGTACACGCTGGCAGGTGAGTGTATGACAAACCATATGCAGGATTTTCCCTCATTTTTCTGCACTGAATAATTTCAAATGTCAGGTTACAATAAAATGGAGAATAGGCACATGTTCTGTGCCGTCTAAAGTAGGACAGTGTGTTCGCGCTGCAGGCTCTTCTCCTCGCTTTGTGAAACTTCAACGCGAATGAAGAAACACACCCAAAATACCACAGACTGTCTCTACTGATAAACGATCGCCCGATTGTTATGGCAGTTCTGAAACATGATTGTGTTCAGTGAGGCTGATAGAAGAGGGACTTTTTTTATTTGGGGTTTTTATGAGCTGGAAGATTTTTTGGATTTTAGGGAAATCGGCTGTTTGACCTTCTGAGACTGGTCAAATTTGCAGACCACATGAATTCATGCCTGATGCAGCGATACATACGATACATACACATGTGTGTAATTACTCGTGCAGTACGTGTGAACATGCACATTTTCTTTTATCCTTTAGGACAAAAAAATAACAAAGCAATAATTGGCTGGCTCTTTAGCAAATACACAGAGGATTAGTCGTCCTTGTTCTGCTCTGGCATGTCACATAAGAGAGCAGCATGAAGACGTTCTCCACCTGGTTCTGAGGCAGGAAAACAAATTCTTGTTGCCAGCTGCAAACCTCGTAGAGTCTCTCCAACCATGACGAGGGATTTACCGACCTGATATTTAAATCTGAAGTGTGTTTGATCTGGACTCACAAAGCTGTTTCAGGTATAATCTGTTCAGTTCCCTTCTATTTAGTGTGTGATACCTCAGCGCTGCACTGGTTGCTAGGAGAAGAAACCACAAAGGATCAGCATACATGCAGTGGAAAAACCTTTCTTTAAGTGTTTGAGAGCATTTAACGTAGTCACAAAATAAACAGGCTTATTGTAGCACTACCATCGTGTTGGTACTTGATATCGACTCTACGAATACCTGGATGATGTAGTTGTTGTGTTTCATGTACTTGTACTTTTCAGTTCGTTCAAAATGGCGAGTGTGAATACAGGAATAGACGACTGGAGACAGCCTAGATCTGATTCAGAAACACTGTTGTTATCTGTTTCTCCCTATCAGGATTCGAGGCTCCTCCCCCTCCAGCTGTGGCTCCAGCCCTCTGAATATTACCAGCACACCTCCACCCGACACCTGCTCCCCAGGGGGCAAGAAGGTAACTAACACACACA